GAAGCATATGTGCATTCATCTCTTTATAGGGTGGGGATCTCAACTGTTTTCAAGCTGTGACTAAGAAACTAGGTCCATAGGGGTTCGGTCAGACCCCAGGGTCTATTCTAACATCGTGACTGCATTCGTCTCTTTATGCGCAGCTTTTGTATATATAGGTTTGGGGTGGGGAACAGTTTTAAAGTTATGGCCCAAGGACTATGTTTCCAAGGGTGGGGCCAGACCCTAGGGCCATCCTGGAAGCAAATGTGCATTCTTCTCTTTATACTCAGCAATTGTATATGTGGTTATATGGTGGGGATCTTAACCATTTCCAAGCAATAAACTTTTTTTGGCCCACCCCTTAGCCCGAGGGGTCAGCCCCACCATTTGTACAATTTTGAATCCCTGCCTCCCATGAATGCTTCCGACCAAATATGATTGATATCCATGGCATAGTTCTACAGAAGAAGTCGTTTATAGCAATATAGCCAAATTGCCCCCCTTTTGGCCCCGCCCTCAGCCCCCTGGAGGGTCAGCCCCACCATTTGTACAATTTTGAATCCCCACCACCTAGGAATGCTTCCAGTCTAATATGATTGATATCCATCACTTAGTTCCAGAGAAAAAGTTGCTTAAAGCAATATAACCAAATAACCCTTTTTGGCCCCGCCCCTCAGCCCCCTGGAGGGTCAGCCCCACCAGCTGTACAATTTTGAATCTCTGCATCCCATGAATGCTTTTGATTAAATATGATTGATATCCAGTGCACAGTTCTGAATTTTAGTCCCCACCACCTAGGGATGCTTCCAGTCAAATTAAGTTAAATTCCAATCAGTGGTTAAGAAGAAGAGGTTGTTAAAAGAAATTGTTGACGAACGGACGACGGACGACAGACAGACGGACAACGGACGCCACAGTATGGCATAAGCTCACCTTGGTCCTTCGGACCCGGTGAGCTAATAAATACAGCATTATAATTTTTTTTTGTCCGACTTTAAACTATTCTGTAAATACAACATTATACATCATGTCTGACTGCATGTTCACTGATCGCCTAAAATAGCCCAGCCCCCTATCTTTTACAAATCTGACTCTACATTACATATGAACACTTCCAAAAAAAATTAGTTTATTTTTGACAGACAACAAAAAATGGACAACAGATGATGGGGGACAGACAATAGATGATGAGGGACAGACAACAGATGATGGGGGACAGACAATAGATGATGGGGGACAGACAATAGATGATGGGGACAGACAACAGATGATGGGGGACAAACAATAGATGATGGGGGGACAGACAATAGATGATGGGGGGACAGACAACAGATGATGGGGACAAACAATAGATGATGGGGACAGACAACAGATGATGGGGGACAGACAATAGATGATGAGGGACAGACAACAGATGATGGGGGACAGACAATAGATGATGGGGGACAGACAACAGATGATGGGGGACAGACAGCCATGGACTGCAATAGCTCAACAAGCTATTATCAATTTAAACTGTCCAAATCTGGCAGCCTGGCAGTTACTTGTTTTTCTGATCAGTCTCAAAGTAAAATATACAAAACTGAAAAAGTAGTTAAAGGATGGATGGCAGATAGAGGCGCAACACACCAATGAGGACAGGCAATTTGAACAGCCATCATCTGATGGACGATAGAGGAATTTACGCATGGATTGACACTTAATGCACCATCCTATAGTCTCATAGGGGCTTTGTGCTAGCTAGGGGAGCTAAAAATAAAATCAGCAATACAAAGTTTATTTCTGTAGAACTGACTGCAGAGCTATGAGGGTACTTGTTTTTTTCACTCAGAGAATTATTTTAGTCCATAAAACACATCATATATTTTTACACTGAATGTAGTCTTTACAATGTGTTTATTTACACACGGACATAGCCCAGTCTGCTGAACAAAGCGGGCTTTCTTTGAGGATTTGTACCAACTGACCTGATCTCATGCACCCCTTATTGACCTTAAAGCCAATGCTCTTAGGTGATTGTTCTGACTTTTATCTGTCAACCCAAGGTTTACCATGCACTGACCAAATTCTATTGGATCAATTCTCTATACAAACACAATGTAATGTTAAACCTATCTTTATCTGACCTATGATACTGGTGTTGTCTGCTTATGTTTGACCCAGTTCACCAATACCTGTATACAACATGACCTGGTCTTTACTTCTGTGTGATGAACGAGTAGATAACGTTGACAATGTAAAGACATGTATATGAATCTTACAGATAATATCAAGATGATAACAATAAAGGCAAATAAATATTGCACCTGTCCTGACACTGAAGTAAGGTGTACAAAGTTGAATAATGTTACTGTATCCAAACTGGGACACTTGTGGGAAAGTGACCCAAGAAAGTGGCATGCAATTCAAAGAACTATTGTCATCACTTGATACTTTTATGTCAATTTAACTATATACTTAATTGGCTGTTGATTGTGGTAACACAGACGGTGCAGGATTCAAAATAATTTTGAAAAAATATAACTTTCATAATCAACGTGCCGTGTGGCGCTATCTATTTAGATATCATTTTCAGAAACTTATTTTGTCACAACTAACTCTAGTTTGGAGAATAGATTTTAACAAAACCTCCCTTGACCCTAAATCATTTGATGTAAATGTTATTTTCTGCTGATATTGATCGCTAATCCCCAAATATTAGCCAAAATACTAAAGTGTCACTTTCAGGGTACAGTTACACCGGTTAAAGAGCCTACATGACCCTAACAGTAATTTGCATTATATTTATGAAGAAAACTGAACAAACCTTTTCTGTATTAATATTATGGTATAAAATACAGTATTTAACTTCCAAGTGCCCCATTTTGTGTACACTAATATTACCCTTATTTGGTATTTATTGACTTTTGAGTGATCTTGCCTGATCAAGCTAGATGACAAGTCACTGCTTTCAGGTAGCTTATGTATGACACACAAAAAACACCTTGTAGAATAGTGATAATGGGTGACTTACTATAAACTATGATAATGGGTGACTAACTATAAACTATGATAATTAGTGACTTACTATAATCTATGATAATGGGTGACTAACTATAATCTATGATAACTAGTGACTTACTATAATCTATAATAATGGGTAACTAACTATAATCTATGATAATGGGTGACTAACTATAATCTATGATAATGGGTGACTAACTATAATCTATGATAATGGGTGACTAACTATAATCTATGATAATGGGTGACTAACTATAATCTATGATAATGGGTGACTAACTATAATCTATGATAATGGGTGACTAACTATAATCTATGATAATGGGTGACTAACTATAATCTATGATAATGGGTGACTAACTATAATCTATGATAATGGGTGACTAACTATAATCTATGATAATGGGTGACTAACTATAATCTATGATAATGGGTGACTAACTATAATCTATGATAATGGGTGACTAACTATAATCTATGATAATGGGTGACTAACTATAATCTATGATAATGGGTGACTAACTATAATCTATGATAATGGGTGACTAACTATAATCTATGATAATGGGTGACTAACTATAATCTATGATAATGGGTGACTAACTATAATCTATGATAATGGGTGACTAACTATAATCTATGATAATGGGTGACTAACTATAATCTATGATAATGGGTGACTAACTATAATCTATGATAATGGGTGACTAACTATAATCTATGATAATGGGTGACTAACTATAATCTATGATAATGGGTGACTAACTATAATCTATGATAATGGGTGACTAACTATAATCTATGATAATGGGTGACTAACTATAATCTATGATAATGGGTGACTAACTATAATCTATGATAATGGGTGACTAACTATAATCTATGATAATGGGTGACTAACTATAATCTATGATAATGGGTGACTAACTATAATCTATGATAATGGGTGACTAACTATAATCTATGATAATGGGTGACTAACTATAATCTATGATAATGGGTGACTAACTATAATCTATGATAATGGGTGACTAACTATAATCTATGATAATGGGTGACTAACTATAATCTATGATAATGGGTGACTAACTATAATCTATGATAATGGGTGACTAACTATAATCTATGATAATGGGTGACTAACTATAATCTATGATAATGGGTGACTAACTATAATCTATGATAATGGGTGACTAACTATAATCTATGATAATGGGTGACTAACTATAATCTATGATAATGGGTGACTAACTATAATCTATGATAATGGGTGACTAACTATAATCTATGATAATGGGTGACTAACTATAATCTATGATAATGGGTGATTAACTATAATGTATGATAATTAGTGACTAACTATAATCTATGATAATGGGTGACTAACTATAATCTATAATAATGGATAATGGATGATTAACTATAAACTATGATAATGGGTGATTAACTATAATCTATGATAATGGGTGACTAACTATAATCTATGATTATGGGTGATTAACTATAATGTATGATAATTAGTGACTAACTATAATCTATGATAATGGGTGACTAACTATAATCTATGATAATGGATGATTAACTATAAACTATGATAATGGGTGATTAACTATAATCTATGATAATGGGTGACTAACTATAATCTATGATAATGGATGATTAACTATAAACTATGATAATGGGTGACTAACTATAATCTATGATAATGGGTGACTAACTATAATCTATGATAATGGATGATTAACTATAAACTATGATAATGGGTGATTAACTATAATCTATGATAATGGGTGACTAACTATAATCTATGATAATGGATGATTAACTATAAACTATGATAATGGGTGATTAACTATAATCTATGATAATGGGTGACTAACTATAATCTATGATAATGGATGATTAACTATAAACTATGATAATGGGTGATTAACTATAATCTATGATAATGGATGACTTACTATAAACTATGATAATGGGTGACTTACTATAATCTATGATAATGGGTGACTTACTATTATTTTTGACTCCTGTCCAGTGTTTTCTGATGCCTCAACCAAGGGACGGATGCCCCCTGCTGCAGACACATACATGAGATAGAAAAGTACAGAGACCTGAGATGCCTCCACTCCCAATATCGTCCGGTTGGCAGCATCAATGCATTCCTTAGCACCTGAAATATAAGGTGTTATTTTATTTTTAACTTTTATACTTATATTTCACAAATATATCAGTAATTTTGCTTTCATCATTTTGAAATTTAATTTGAACAAGCTTTCAGGACTTATTGTAGGTAAACTTTATTGAGGTTAGGTTTAACATGTGAGTATCGTGCTGTTGATACATAATGTATAGCTTGAAACTTGAAGAAAAAAAAGCCTTATCTAATATTTGCTAGAGTTATAAGCGGAAACTGCAGATAATGACTATGCCAAATGGAGTCCGAATAAAGTGATTGTCAAACTTGGCCGAGACCTTAATGTGTTGAACCCTGTTACTAAGTTTGAAGACAATCGGATACTATTTGTGAGAGTTAATGAACAGAAACAGAAGATAATGATGTTTTTCGACATTCAAGGGGCCATAACTCCGCCAAATGGCGTCCGCTGAAAGTGGTCATCAAACTTGGCCGAGCTCTTAAGGTTTTTAACCCTGTGACAAAGTTTGAAGAAAATCAGTTAAAAAAAATTGTAGTTATTGCATGGAAACGAAATCGTGACAGACAGACAGACGGACAAACCCAATTTAATTTCTTCTATCAGACTCTCTATTTTGTTTTGAAAACATTCTTCCCCTTCACAAGAAAATTATCAGGTTCTTACTTCAAATAAATGTAACAGTGAGTGGTCCTTGACCAATCACCAAACCCCTCTGGCCTACCTAATTACTGTTGCTAAGTCACAAGCCCCTCTGGCCTACCAAATTACTGTTGCTAAGCCACAAGCCCCTCTGGCCTACCTATTTACTGTTGCTAAGCCACAACCCCCTCTGGCCTACCTAATTACTGTTGCTAAGCCACAAGCCCCTCTGGCCTACCTATTTACTGTTGCTAAGCCACAACCCCCTCTGGCCTACCTAATTACTGTTGCTAAGCCACAAGCCCCTCTGGCCTACCTATTTACTGTTGCTAAGCCACAACCCCCTCTGGCCTACCTAATTACTGTTGCTAAGCCACAAGCCCCTCTGGCCTAGCTATTTACTGTTGCTAAGCCACAACCCTCTCTGGCCTACCTAATTACTGTTGCTAAGCAACAACCCCCTCTGGCCTACCATATTACTGTTGCTAAGCCACAAGCCCCTCTGGCCTACCTAATTACTGTTGCTAAGCCACAAGCCCCTCTGGCCTACCTAATAAAGGTGAGATAGTATATGGTCACTGCCCTGCTGTAACTACACGGACAGCACAGATAAAGGTGAGATAGTCTATGGTTACTGCCCTGCTGTAACTACACAGACAGTATGGATAAAGATGAGATAGTCTATGGTCACTGCCCTGCTGTGAGATAGTCAATGGTCACTGCCCTGTTGTAACTACACAGACAGCACAGATAAAGGTGAGATAGTCTATGGTTACTGCCCTGCTGTAACTACACAGACAGTATGGATAAAGATGAGATAGTCTATGGTCACTGCCCTGTTGTAACTACACAGACAACACAAATAAAGGTGAGATAGTCTATGGGCACTGCCCTGCTGTAACTACACAGACAACACAAATAAAGGTGAGATAGTCTATGGGCACTGCCCTGCTGTAACTACACAGACAACACAAATAAAGGTGAGATAGTCTATGGGCACTGCCCTGCTGTAACTACACAGACAACACAAATAAAGGTGAGATAGTCTATGGGCACTGCCCTGCTGTAACTACACAGACAACACAAATAAAGGTGAGATAGTCTATGGTCACTGCCCTGCTGTGAGATAGTCTATGGTCACTGCCCTGCTTTTACAACACGGACACCACAAATAAAGGTGAGATAGTCTATGGTCACTTCCCTGCTGTAACTATACAATAAAGGTGAGATAGTCTATGGTCACTTCCCTGCTGTAAATTCACAGACAGCATGGATAAAGGTGAGATAGTCTATGGTCACTTCCCTGCTGTAACTACACAGACAGCACAGATAAAGATGAGATAGTCTATGGTCACTGCCCTGTTGTAACTACCCAGACAGCACAGATAAAAGTGAGATAGTCTATGGCCACTGCCCTGCTGTAACTACACAGACAACACAAATAAAGGTGAGATAGTCTATGGGCACTGCCCTGCTGTAACTACACAGACAACACAAATAAAGGTGAGATAGTCTATGGTCACTTCCCTGCTGTAACTTCGCAGACAGCATGGATAAAGGTGAGATAGTCTATGGCCACTGCCCTGCTGTAACTACACAAACAACACAAATAAAGGTGAGATAGTCTATGGTCACTGCCCTGCTGTAACCTCACAGACAGCACAGATAAAGGTGAAATTGTCTATGGTCACTGCCCTGTTGTAACTACACAGACAGCACAGATAAAGGTGAGATAGTCTATCCTCACTGCCCTGCTGTAACTACATGGACATCACAGATAAAGGTGAGATAGTCTATGGTCACTGACCTGCTGTAACTACACAGACAACACAAATAAAGGTGAGATAGTCTATGGTCACTTCCCTGCTGTAACTATACAATAAAGGTGAGATAGTCTATGGTCACTTCCCTGCTGTAACTACACAGACATCACAAATAAAGGTGAGATAGTCTATGGTCACTTCCCTGCTGTAACTACACAGACATCACAAATAAAGGTGAGATAGTCTATGGTCACTTCCCTGCTGTAACTACACAGACAGCACAGATAAAGGTGAGATAGTCTATGGTCACTGCCCTGCTGTAACCTCACAGACAGCACAGATAAAGGTGAGATTGTCTATGGTCACTGCCCTGTTGTAACTACACAGACAACACAGACAGCACAGATAAAAGTGAGATAGTCTAGGGTTACTGCCCTGTTGTAACTACACGGACAGCACAGATAAAGGTGAAATAGTATATGGTGACTGCCCTGCTGTAACTTAACAGACAGCACAGATAAAGGTGAGACAGTCTATGGTCACTGCCCTGCTGTTACTACACAGACAGCACAGATTAAGATGAGATAGTCTATGGTCACTGCCCTGCTGTAACTACACAGACAGCACAGATAGAAGTGAGATAGTCTATGGTCACTGCCCTGCTGTAACTACATGGACATCACAGATAAAGGTGAGATAGTCTATGGTCACTGCCCTGCTGTAACTACACAGACAGCACAGATAAAGGTGAGATAGTCTATCCTCACTGCCCTGCTGTAACTACATGGACATCACAGATAAAGGTGAGATAGTCTATGGTCACTGCCCTGCTGTCACTACACAGACAGCACATATAAAGGTGAGATAGTCTATGGTCACTGACCTACTGTAACTACACAGACAGCAAATATAAAGGTGAGATAGTATATGGTCACTGCCCTGCTGTCACTACACAGACAGCACATATAAAGGTGAGATAGTCTATGGTCACTGCCCTGTTGTAACTACACGGACACCACAGATAAAGGTGAGATAGTCTATGGTCACTGCCCTGCTGTGAGATAGTCTATGGTCACTGCCCTGCTTTCACAACACGGACACCACAAATAAAGGTGAGATAGTCTATGGTCACTTCCCTGCTGTAACTTCACAGACAGCATGGATAAAGGTGAGATAGTCTATGGTCAGTGCCCTGCTGTAACCTCACAGACAGCACAGATAAAGGTGAGATTGTCTATGGTCACTGCCCTGCTGTAACTTCACAGACAGCACAGATAAAGGAGAAATAGTCTATGGTCACTGCCCTGCTTTCACAACACGGACACCACAAATAAAGGTGAGATAGTCTATGGTCACTGCCCTGTTGTAACTACACAGACAGCACAGATAAAGGTGACCATAGACTATTTCACCTTTATCTGTGCTGTCTGTTAAGTTACAGCAGGGCAGTGACCATAGACTATCTCGCCTTTATCTGTGATGTCCATGTAGTTACAGCAGGGCAGTGACCATAGGCAATCTCACCTTTATCTGTGCTGTCCGTGAAGTTACAGCAGGGCAGTGACCATAGACAATCTCCCCTTTATCTGTGCTGTCTGTATAGTTACAGCACAGATAAAGGTGAGATAGCCTATAGCCACTGCCCTGCTGTAACTTCACGGACAGCTCAGATAAAGGTGAGATAGTATATGGTCACTGCCCTGCTGTAACTACATGGACATCACAGATAAAGGTGAGATTGTCTATGGTCACTGCCCTGCTGTAGCTACACAGACAGCACAGATAAAGGCGAGATAGTCTATGGTCACTTCCCTTCTGTAACTTCACAGACAGCATGGATAAAGGTGGGATAGTCTATGGTCACTGCCCTGCTGAAACTACACAGACAGCACAGATAAAAGTGAGATAGTCTATGGTCACTGCCCTGTTGTAACTACACAGACAGCACAGATAAACGTGAGATAGTCTATGGTCACTGCCCTGTTGTAACTACACAGACAGCACAGATAAAGGTGAGATAGTCTATGGTCACTGCCCTGCTGTAACTACATGGACATCACAGATGAAGGGGAGATAGTCTATGGTCACTGCCCTGCTGTAACTACACAGACAGCACAGATAAAGGTGAGATAGCCTATAGCCACTGCCCTGCTGTAACTTCACGGACAGCACAGATAAAGGTGAGATAGTATATGGTCACTGCCCTGCTGTAACTACACAGACATCACAGATAAAGGTGAGATAGTCTATGGTCACTGCCCTGTGTAACTTCACAGACACCACAGATAAAGGTGAGATAGTCTATGATCACTGCCCTGCTGTAACTACACAGACAGCACAGATAAAGGTGAGATAGTATATGGTCACAGCCCTGCTGTAACTTCACAGACAGCACAGATAAAGGTGAGATAGTCTATGGTCACTTCCCTGCTGTAACCTCACAGACAGCACAGATAAAGGTGAGATAGGCTATGGTCACTTCCCTGCTGTAACAACATGAACAGCACAGAATGGCACACTGACAGGTAGTTAATATCTATTATATCTTAAGTATATACATGTGCACTACGACTAGAACTACATTGCTTTGACCACATACTCAGAACCAAGTCTGTTATTTGACCTGTCAGTGTGCAAATCTGTGTTGTTGGTGATATTTAACATTGAATGCTGTAATAATGTTATTACCCAATGTTACATATCAAAATAAGTCTGTGATCATGTTATTACCCAATGTTACGTATCAAAATAAGTCTGTGATCATGTTAATACCCAATGTTACATATCAAAATAAGTCTGTGATCATGTTAATACCCAATGTTACGTATCAAAATAAATCTGTGATCCTGTTAATACCCAATGTTACATATCAAAATAAGTCTGTGATCATGTTAATACCCAATGTTAC